ACTCGCAAGAGACCATGGGTGAAGCAAGATCAACCAGCCTAAACAGTATCAAAAGCAGCAGAGATTCACCAAAAAAGGATTATGCTGTCAGTCTGGTGGGATCACAAAGGAATTTTGTATGTTGAACTCATGCCGCAGAACCGAACGATAAATTCAAATGTGTATGTTGAAGAACTCGAAAAACTGAAGGATGCAATCGAAGATAAGCGGCCGGCATTATGAAATCGGCGGAAGGGTGTTGTTTTCCATCATGATAACGCAAGGCCCCCGCACACATCTTTGGTTACTCGGCAAAAATTATTGGAACTGGGTTGGGATGTTTTGTTTTGTTTTGTCACACCCACCATATAGCCCTGACCTTGCGCCTTCGGATTACCATTTGTTTCGTTCCATGCAAAACTCTTTAAATGGTAAAATTGTTAACAACGCGGATGATGTCGGATCACACCTAATTCAGTTTTTTAATAGCAAAGACCAGACATTTTACGAACGGGGAATTTTTACTCCGCCAGAACGATGGAAAAAGCTCATCGACAAGAACGGCCAATATCTAATTGAATAAAGTTATATTTTTAAACAAAAATTCCAAATTTGCCTTCTTATTTGAAAGCGGCAATGACTTAGTTGCCAACCTAATAGAACAGCAAAAAAAGTAGAGCTCGTGTTCTTAAGTGTAGGCTACGTAAAGGGAAAATGTAAATATGGAGTAAGTGAAAATGGAGCACTCTTCTGAGAGCATATTGTGGAGACCAGATTGAAATCTGCACAATCGCACCTCGTATTAAAATTATATCGTCGTGAAATGCTTGACTGAAATGGCTGAGATGATCACTTTGATATAATATATGCGAAACACCTTTCGAGATGTTAAAATATTATTCAAATTCGATGGAGCTATAAACTTCATCAACTTTTTGGACGTTAACTTACTGTCGCTTTCTCATCAATGTATTTACTACAATAGCAAATAATAATGAGCTTCGTGATCTGGAGTGCCAGCACTCTCTGACTCACTTGTCTGTTTGGAAATTCTATTTAAAGCGTATCAACTGCAAATACCTTCCCCTCTTCCTGTCAACGCCTCATCAACTAATTAAGGATGCACAAATTGTCAATCGCTAAACCATACATCATTTCGCCTTTTTCTCACAATCTGGGGTTGTCCACCCTAGATATTGATAAACTCCTCGAAAATAGCTTTTTTCAGTCCTTTCTCCTACTTAGCCCAGGAAAGCATTTTTAATCCCCTTAGCCTTGGGGTCATAAATTCTATGAGGGATGGCCATCATATTTTTAAAAAATTTTCTCAAAAGTAATTTTTACCTCGAATAAAGCTACTCAAATTCTTTATATTTTATGGATTAACTATTAGTGAAATAGATATTGATGCGATTTTACTGTGTTTCATTGAAGGAAACCTGGCTAAACCCTGTTAAATATTTCAAAAATTTATTTTTAATGTCGGACTACAACACAGTAAAGAAAAATTGTTTTTTTCTATCAACTGAAATGGCCATTCTGTGATTCAAATAATCCGACAAATTCTAAAACGAAATAAAACACGAATTGTTACTTCAATTGTAAAATATATTATATTGTTTGAAAAAAATAATCAATTCAACTCACCATCATAATCGACAACTCCGTCTCCATTTTTATCCGCTTCTTGAATCATTTCGACTATATCACTCTCCCTCAATTCAGTTCCAAGGTCTTCCATTAAGGCTTTGAGGTCATTTGAGTCAATTACATTATCCTTATTTACATCGAACCTCTAAAATAAATTAAATAAGTTAAACGCAACAACCAACAAGCGCATTTTATGCAAAGATGACTAAATCGGTCGACAAATAACCAAAGGTGAGCAACGTCGATCATCGTATTTGAAAACAGTCATTTAAGAATGGAGGAGGAAAACTGGAAATCAATCAGTAATCCAGGAGACAATGATTTATGAAAATTGAGTTTTGGAATGAGGAGCATATTTCATCAAGAAAATATCCCAGGATCATAAAATCAAAAAAAACCATTCTCCCCCCCCCCACACATCACTTTAGCTCTCATCTGATCGAATTTATCCTATTTAAGTTACTCCCCCCATAATAATAAATAGTAAAATTATCCTGCATAGTGCTTTGACTTATACGCATAATACAAAGAGAACGTAATGAGTATATTAATATTTTTTATGTATACGAAAAGTAACAAAAACTTGTGTATTTAACTTTACCATTGAGAAATCTTAGAGATGCTGCGGTGGATACTATACAAGTAAGGTTTGAAAACCTCGGAAAACGTGCTGCAAGATTTCCTTGTTTAACACTGTTCCGGGAAACTGGTAAACCGGAGAAATAGCACATAAGGTTAAAAACATGCATTGCAAATTACTCATAAGTTTAGTCACTCAATTCAAGCAATATAATTCTACGTTGCATAAACTCGATTACTAATTGGCTGAGAAATTTCTTTATGTAGGCCACACATTTCACACTGACCTATCTCAAATACGCTTCCTATGATCGGACACCACACAAGTTCCTTCAGTATCGTTTGAATTTTAAATGCAATCATAAGATACTATAATATTTATCTCGTTAATATACTAAGTAGATTTAAAAGAACATAAATTTATAATGACAAAGTCTATTGTTGAGGAAAGTGTTTCTAACGCAAATCTTGTGAAGAGAGAATAGCATCATGGAACCTAACGGTGAAAGAACCAAAAATATGCAACTTTTTTCATTATCTCAATTTAGCAAGTGTGATAGGCTTTTCTCTCACCTGGAGTGAACTGGTTGGAATTACACCCACTAGCTCTGAGTAGTCTTACGGTGATTTGTGTCAAATTGCCAAAATGTTGGTCTTTCGTCTACCTTAATTTCATTAAACTCAAAAGACGTCATCTATGATCATATTTTGTAGACAGGCGCATATTTGTTTGCAGTAATTATAAAATTATTATAAATATAAGTAAGTACTTATCATGTTGGGTAAAATAACAGCTCAAATGACTTCCTACATTCTGCAAAAGAGGTTTTAATATTGAAGTAGGTTAAATAACGTACATTAAACGCCTCGCGATAAATTTCACTTTGGGATTTTTCCTCGTGTTGATTTTCATAATATGTTGCCATGAGAGATACGAATTCCTTGTAGTCAATACTTCCATCACCTGAATACATTTTTGAAGAGTATAATTAATAAATTTGATTCGAATAATAAAAAATGCAAGACTAATTACAAAGTAAAGAAGCACACAATTTAACTATAATATCTGATACAAAGAGGTGCTAATTGTATATGCGGTAGTAGGAGTATTTTTATAGAATTTCTTCTTCGGACAAATTTGGAAATCACTAAATTATCAATCATAAAAATAACTAATTTATACACAATTAAAAAATGTATGCTAATTTAGTCAAAAAATTCTCTTTAATGTTAAAATATTTTATCTTTGTAACAAATTTCAAATTTCAGAGTTTATAAGTGTATGTGGCTGATACGTGTTCCTAGATATTCAGATGAAATCATTTAGATGAAATTGAAGAGATTTACAAAATCATTCTTTCAGTAACCGGGGTGTGCGATAGACTTACCTCCACGTGGTGCACTCTAGGCAACGTATACTCATACGGCAAAAATGTATATCAATCGGAAGTTGACTTATGACTTCAAACTACCTTGAACTCACTCTATGTCATATCCCACCACTTTCACAGTACTCATCTTACCTTTTCTCTGCCTTTGTGGCTATCTTATCTCTTTCTTCCTTGAATCACTTTTCTGTTCCCCCTCTCGAATTTTTTCACTTGGATGTTTCTCCTCTCTGTGAGGCCCGAAATCAGCAAAAGAAATAATGATAATCACCATAAAGCCTGCTATTTTAAATTTCATCCACAAACTTCGGGAATGCATATGTCTCTGTGTTCATACTGCACACTATGCAAGAGTACCAAAACTTATTTATTTTATCATATAGTAGCTACAATCAAAGTAGAATTTTGATTTCGTGAATTCATTAATTGTGGACTTGCTCATTGTATTTGACAGTGTAGAAAATAGTGAATAGGATCAAAAAAATATATTTGTATTCACATTTACCGTTATCGTCTGCCTCCTGAAATAAATTCTTTATAACCGAGTTATCATGTATTTGTCCAATCGCTGCATAGGCATCAACCAATTCGTCAAAGGATATTGATCCATTTCCATTCTTGTCAATACTATTAAAACTCCGGCGTATCTCTAAAACAAGTGCACGGTGTTTATTATGCTTAATTCAATTTTCTAAAATCTTATAAGAAGTTCATTTTTTCAAAGAGATACATTTGCACGCAAAAGATGGGGTGTACGATAGACTTACCTCCACATGGTGCACCCTGGGCAAAGTATACTCTTACGGCAAAAGAGTCTATTATTCGGCATTTGACTTCAAACTACCATGACCAGACTATATGTCAGATTCGACCATTTCAACAGTACTCACCTTACAATATTTCTCTACCTTTATATCTGTCTCCTTTACATCTATAAAACACTCTTCTGTCCCCCCCTTCCATCCACTTTTTTGTGCCTTTGATGTTCCTCCCCTCTGTGAAGCTCGATGTCAGTTAAAGGACTGATGATAACTATCAAAATCCTGCCATTCGATATAAATAATCCTAAAAAAGATACAAGATTATGTAAATAAGTAATGTGTGCCTTTTCAGCTCTAAACAAATATGATATGTTCTTGAACTAGATAATAAAGGCGAGTTTCCTTTCCACGTATCGGTTACTATAATTGGAAACCAAGAATTTGAAGCGCCTCATTATACAATCACCACTAGCGTCATTGACGTAAATGTTAAATTTACGTAGAAAGGGTATAAATTTATACCCGACTGTTCTGTGTAAATACACAAAGTAGAGAAAATCTACGTTAAAATTCTGGACAAATTTGCCCTATTTGTTTTCATGCATAAATATTAAACATGGGGTGTGTGATAGACTTACCTCCACGTGGTGCACCCTGGGCAATGTATACTCATACGGCAAAAAAGTCTATTAATCGACTGTTGACTTCTCACTTCAAACTACCATCACCCCCACTGTATGTCATATTCGACCCCTACCACTACTCATCTTACCCTTTCTGAGCCTTTGTGTCTGTTTCTTGTACACCTTTGAAACGCCCTTCTATTCCCCCTCCTGAATTCTTC